TGTTAATTTATTTGCCAAACTAATCAAAGCAATTATAATTATAATTTGAAAATTATTTTAGTTCAAATTTAATATTAAATTGGTTCAAGATAAACTTCAGTGGTATGCTCAGAAAAATTTCATGGAGGTTGCACTAACGAAAATTTTTATTTTTTATCCAAATTGTATATTAAACACGTCATTTTTTTTTTCTTAGAGGTTTTCATTAGATCTATCTAAATTTTTTTTTTAGCTCATAAAGTACTTAATACACTTAACTATTTTCATACTTAATATTCAATAATGAAGCAAAGTAATACNTTTAGCTCATAAAGTACTTAATACACTTAACTATTTTCATACTTAATATTCAATAATGAAGCAAAGTAATACCATGAACTTTAATGGCTACTGTTTTTTGATATCAATAGTCAACAAGTGTTTTTATTTTCTTTGAGGATTCAAACGCCTTATGTTATAAAATTAATTTGAATTGTAAGTTAATTTCAAAACAAGAACGCGGACGAGGAAAATACTTGTGTAATTTGTACTAAGGTTTGTAAATAAGTAATCATCACACTGCCAGTAAAAGTTATCTGTCTTCATAAATGTCATTGTACACATTGTCAAACAACGCTGTTTTAGTATTCATGACTGGTATAACAAAACATTTCTATTATTATTATTATTGTTATTGATACGTTTTTCTTATTATTCTTTATGTTGAGTTAATGTAGTGAAGCCGATTTACAATATGAGCACATACATTACAGTTGATACATATTAGGCAGAATATAAGATTGACCATTAATCACTTCCTACCATTAGCTACTTAAATGGGAAAATACTACACTATTCAGTAGATCGTTTAAGCAAAATTAGTACACACTATGTTATTCGCATGAACTTTGAATTTTCGTTTATGCATTTCAAACTATTTCTACCATACCTGTCACTATGAATGAATTTTGATTGATAACTCTGTTTATAAATTGGACGACTGTAGTAGGCTGCTGTGCAATGAATGTTCTATAGTCTATGAAATAACAGTACTGCAATTAATATATGGTAAATCTTGCCGTGATATATGATTAATAACACTTGGAGAATTACAGAGTTGTATTATGCCAAGAAAATGTATTATATAGTTCTTATTTTATGAGTTTCGAGATGAGACTGAATTGATTTCGTTGGTTTTAATTCAAATAGCAATATTTATAACTATTTAATATATATTTTTTACGAGTTACTGGAGGTTATATTTTGTTAAGAAAATTAAAATCTGGAAATTTCTAATCTCTTAAAGAAGAGTTATGAAAAAATTATTTAATGTCAAGACCATGTTTATATTTATTTATGTTTTGTAGAAATTGTAGATGTATTTTGTGCTTGAAATGTTTCAATGGTATTTATAAATACAGTCTTGAATATAATCACTTTTTTGTGTACTATTATTATTATTTTTTTATTCTTAACAAAACAATTTATTAATTTTTTTATAAATTCTGTATGGATTGAAAATTTAGTTTAAAGTTACTCAAAATATAACCAACATACTTTTTAAGGTTTAAATATGTGAGATGTCCTATAGTCAAAAATTCGACGTTGATTGTTAACTTTTTAAAAATTATTGAATTTTTTTTCTAGTCCTAGGAAATGCACATTACTAATATATTACAGTATTGAGAGCGTTTTTTGGTAGCTTTCATAAATTAATTAATAGGCTATAAATTATAAATCAACTACGGCTTTAACAATTTAAACAACTATTACGAACCGGGTGGTAATCACGGAAACGTTTAGAAAGAGAACAGTCAACAAACAAAAATAAGAAATATAGAAAAATAATTAAAGAAAAATAATGTGTAAAGTTTTAAGCAACTAATCTAGTATAATCTGTTTACATACATACTACGTACACATTACATGTATACTTCAAAGTAGAATATTATATTATGGTTAAGGTTCTGAAAATTTTAATGGTCTAAAGTTTGGAAATTCGAACTAACTTGTTTCGGAGAACACAAAGCTCTAATGGATTCTCTCTGTTATAGTGTTGGTGGCAAGACGTATCGAAAAAGGGTAAATTTCAACAAAACGGTCTTGAATAGCGCATTCGACTCGAACAGCACCCGCTTAACCCAGTGAACTTGCAGTCAATAATATTTATATATGTGTGGTAAAAGATTTGAATGGAATTGCCATTTTTTAAGTTTAGTGTGAAATTTATAATTGAATCCAACGCTCGTGCTTATTGGAATGGAAACCGATAGGAAACAAAATTCTATGTAACATTAAACTTCATCGAGCTCTCTGCCGTATTCGTGTCTTAAGTTGTTGGATATTATAAAGTCATCGAGGTTAACAAAATCGTATTTACTTTTAATATACCATTGCATTATGAATTGAACAGAATGAACTATTTATTGTATTTCGTCGATTTATTAAATAATTATATAATAGATACAGTGTACGATAACAAATTTCCACATTACAGAAAGTTCTTCGTTTATTTCGAAACAAACACTAGTAATTTATGTTTATTATCGAATTAAAGTATTGTGCAGTGTACTAGAACTGGGTGGCTCAAATTATTACACTACACAAGAGCTTAATCAACACGTCTCCAACAAATCTTCAATTAGTATGAATGATGTTATGGCAGATCTGTCTTAGTTTATTTGTGTTGGAATAATCCGTTTAAACGTAAAAGATGTCCACCCGGAAGGGTTTTGAGTGAGATTTATTTATCTGAACAAAAATCAACATTATTGAAATATGACGAACTCATTTTTTTTGTATGATAGAGAATCTATATGTATTCCTTGTATTACACAATTACTCTAGTCAAGATAGTATGACAAGTATATTAACTTTAATTTTAAATGAAATAAACTATGAAATAATTTTATTGAATATGCATTTTAATCATATTAAATTCACTTATATGTTATTTGAGCATTAATTACACACAACTAGGCTGTTAAATTTTCATAAACATAAAATTGTACTTCATAACAATAAAATACAGACACGAATAACTTCATTCCTTTAATATACCCATTAGTATATCTTAATTTAAAACCAAAAAAGACCAATTTTAATTCAAATAATAACGATTAGTTCATTCAAGATATTATTTTTCATTTTTATTCAAATCTATTTCGAAGTTTTTTTAAGGTTTATTTTATATTATTACAGTATTTACAATTCAAATAATAACCATTTATAATTAGAAACTGTGTCCTATATGAAGCGATTTATAATCATATCATTATTAAAATATACTCTGGTATTTTCTTAGTTAATATTTTCTTAATTTTAAATACACTAAAAATAGACAAATCTATATTATACAAAAAAATAAATATAGCACAATCAGCTTTTTACTAGCGCTAACGACAAATTTAACACAGTAAAAAGGACCTATTTAAATCGAGACTCATATATTTCAGATTTCTCATGTCTTATTAACAAAATTATATTTTTTGACAATCAAATGAAAAAAATGTCTAAAAGTATGCTAAAAAAGGATAGATTAGCTGAAAACATTAAAATATTTATTGCTTAAGATGATACAAAATCTATTAGAAAATAAACAATACAAAAACTTGTATTTTCGAGTGTAATTTTGTATTAATTTTCATAAAAGTTTTAGTAAAAATCCTCTGAGGAATATAATTGAATGTAGATGACTACTCAAAACAAACTACTAACAACTATTATTAGTTAATAGTTCGAATGTTATAAATAATGGTATCATTTTACAATAAACTATAATATAATTTTTCGTGTAAATTATTGTGAGGTTTAAACTTAACTTATAAAATTTTATAACTCAATTTTGTAATCAAATTAAAATAGCTTTTCGTGATGCAGTTGATTATTTAAAAATATTATAATACAATCTTAACTTCATTGTTAAAATTCTTAAAAAAAAAAACAAGTGTTATAAATTTTATCAATAAACCGAATTTAATTTTGAAAGCATAAGAAATAAATGAATGAAATACAATAACTAAAACATGTAGCTATATTTTTTGAGTGTTTATTCGTAAACATTAAGGTTAATAATCAAAAAACCAATTATATGAACCGATTGGTTCATGAAAGGTTATTGAGTACAGTAACCATTTTCAACTTATAATCACCATTGGTACCTTTGACGTAACCCTTGGGTAATATATTTTGATCATGATTTGATAAAGTAAATATTTATAAATTATATCTGTTTAATTATGTTCAGTAATCAATGATCATTGATTTTTCACCGTACTTACTGTATAAACCACATTCAATATTATGTAAGATAACATCAATTTCCATTCGACACGAACCTTTTTTTTAATATGAATCAATGTAACCGAATCTTAATTTGGAGAATATTTAATTTATTTAAAATTAATGCATAGTCAGGTCTCAGTACGTATAATTAATATTAAGTACTTGACATTCGTGTATTCTTAATAGTACATTGTCGTTAGGTAGTTGGGTACTTGACATGTGCTATTACCTTAAGTGGAAAATCTCATTAACGAAAATAAGTAGCATTTTAATGTATGTGTATACGCACAGGTTAAATATGCAGGTGATCCGTTTGTCGTAACCTACTCAATTAGTTACAAAAAATTCTCGAAATATTTTTTTTTACTTTTTTTAGTTTTATATATTTTTTGATTTATTAGTAATTAATTACTTTTTTAATCATCTTTTATGCCTTATAAGGGTGTCAACTTTATTTGTTTTAACGAAAACATAAATAATTATTTATAACAAGCTATATATATATATAATATAACAAGGTTATTTATTAAATATGCGATAGGAAATTTCGAAT